GGGCATTCCCCGAACCAAAGCAGATTTGGACAGCTTGGATAACTTTTGCAAGCTTATATGCCCAAGCTTGCGATGCCAAAGCATCTCAAGTTGGTGATTAGCAAGCAAGCAAGTCTCACTGGCCAAATTACTTAGATTTATGACATACATATTATTAAAACGATTTCCGACAAAAACAGTGGAATTATCCTGAGATCTCGTCACTAGGCAGTGAGAAGCCTCAAAAACCACCTTATTGCCATTGCTACACAGTTGACTAATGGACAATAAATTGTGCTTCAAACCCTCTACTAAGAGAACATTATGAATAATAGGATGAGGTTTGGATCCTATAGTTCCACTGCCAATAATTTTTCCAAAACTATTGTCACCAAACGTTACCCTACCACCATTTTTTGGAGATAGAGTGGAAAATAAGTGACTTTTACCAGTCATATGGTGGGAACAGCCGCTGTCCATATACCATTGATGGTCAGAATCAACAGAAGGATCCAAGGAAACAGTTTTAAAGGCTAATTCAGAACTAGACGCTGAACTATTACCTTCAACATTAAGAGCAAAGGCCATGAACGCCTCCTCTGTGACTGGTTCATTGTCGGAGTTTGACTCGTAGTCACTCCAGGAAGCAAGCATAGCTCGTTCCTTAGCCTTCAAGGTAAGAGGACAGTTGGCACGAATATGTCCCGGTTTCCCACATTTGTAGCACCCTTGCGGTTCCTTCTCAGGAGTACCTGCACTGAAATCTTTGGTCTGCTTTGCAGGCAGCCTATCATGGGAGAATGGGTCGTTACGATCATAAAAACCAGGTTTGTTCAATTCTCCACCTCGTCGTTTTTGCTCAGATTTATACTTAAGCATTCTATGAAATTTTTTACTGACCAGAGCAAATTCTCTGTCAAATTCAGTGTCAGTATCTGATTCATATCCCTGAACTTGAGACTGAAAAGCTAAAGTTTGCCTACGTTTATCATCACGACCAACCTGCCTAATGACATGTTCATGACTAAGTAACGACCCGATTAGCTCATCCATAGGCAAGGTATTAAGGTTACGAGCTTCTTCGATGGCTATCCTTTTGGGAAGCCATTCCCTAGGAAGCGATCTGAGGATTTTTCTAATCAGGTCTTTAGTAATAAAGGACTTTCCTAAACCCTTTAATTTATTGATTAAGACTGTGAATCGAGAGTACATATCGTGAATACTCTCACCTGGCATCATGCCGAAAGCCTCGTATTCGTGCATGAGAAGATCGATACGAGTCTCCTTTATGTTTGAAGAGCCCTCATATGTCGTTTCCAGGGTCCTCCAGATTTCACGAGCAGTTTCACAGCTCTCAACTTTGTCGGCTTCGTCGGGCACCATGGCGGTCTGAAGGATGTGCATCGCTCGCTGGTTGAGCTGAGCACTCCTCTTCTGGGCGGCGGACCATAGATTCTGTTCTTCATCGTCCATCGCGAACCACCAGCCAGAGATCCTCCTCCACACCCCACAGAAACGTCTTCATGCGCTTCTTCCATGCCGTGAAGTTGGAACCGGTGAAAATGGGAGCGTGGTTGTATGAAGCTTGGCCAAAGTTGGAGGAAGCCATCACCTGGATCAGTCTTGGCAGCATTGAACTTCTTCAAGTACTGGCTCTGATACCACTTGAGGAAAAAGTCAGAACAGAAACTAGGGATTTTGACCAAGTAAAAGAACTGCAAAAGGGAAAAGGGAAATGAAAAAGAGGAGCTCTTCCTCTGACTCTCGACAACGGACACAAAAGAAATAAAAGATGGGCCAAAAGCTAACCAAGCCCAGGGACACTTAAACCAACAGAAATAACGAAGGAGAGTGGGCTTTTTAGGATTAAGCCCGGTCAAACAGAAACCCACGAGAGATAGCTCCAACTTCTCTCTTCTTCCTTCAGCATCAGAACAGAGAAGAAAAGCCAGAAGAAAAACAGAGCAACTCGAGCAAACAGAAAACAAGGAACAAGAACAAAATTGAAAAGCGAAGAACACACGATTCAACGAGGTTCCCAAACTACTGGTCACTCCTCGTCTCGGAAATAGCACTTGCTATTTTCCGAGAGACTCCTTTTTTATTGAGATTTTTCCTATCAAGCAAAACAAAGAAAAACAGAGAATCAGAATGAAAAAATCAAACCAAACACCACCACAGATCACAATCCGATCTGTGAAACTCTCAACAGTTAAGAACCTCTTCCCCTGAACTATTGATACCCTTTGTAACCCAAAAGACAAGCCCTCTACCACTCTCTTTTTCTGTTACAAAAACCTTGCCCTGCTAAGCAGAAGATTCAGAATATATAGAGAAGCCAAAGCGCCGTTGGAGATGATCAAACTAGCCGTTGCTGATTTTCCGCCAGAATAGCTTCTTGAGAGGAAACCTTCCTTTGCCAAGCGAAACTTGAAAACTTACCAAAAGAGATCCATCGCCAAGACTCTTATTTCGTTCAACATCCAGTGCCTCCCAAATTGAAATTTTTTCTACAACTCCTGATATGGGTTTTGCTTACTATGGAGGCTTTGACTGATCGTAGTGTGTAGGGTGTTGCCTTGTGCCCGACTTGCCAACACACCTATTTTTTCGCTACCATCTAGCATGGGGTTTATCTGAGGCGTCTGAGCTCCTTCCTTTACGAGATCCATATATGTTATCTTGTGTGGGTCTATTCTAGGGTAGATTTTTAGATCTAGCTGAAGTATCTAGGATGGACTTTATAAGACTGATGGACCTCTTCTAGCATATTTGGATGGCGCACAATTGGGTAGTGTCTGACTCCACCCTGTATTTCACCCAGTCTTTATTGTCTTAGTGTTCCTCCCAAACTGTAGATAATCGCTTTGTCAGAGATTCAGGGTCGTTTAACGCCTCTTAGTGTGCAAATGGGATGGGGTGGGAGGAGGTCGGAGGGTGTCCCAGTCGAGACATTCTGGGTATCTTCTAATGGGGAAATTAGGCATGGGTCGCATGGTGCGGGTGGTTGGGTTTTGCAGGACTCAGTAGTCAGTGTGTTGGCAGCTACGGCGCACCTTTGTGAAGGTATGGAGGATCCATTTCTCATGGAGTTATTGGCTCTGACGGATGCGGTTGCATGGAGTTTGACTTGTGGCATTCAACATGTGGTGTTTGTAGGTGGTGCTAGACATGGTGGCGACTTGTGACTTGTTTCATGTTTGTTGAGGAGCGATTTTTTAGGAGATTCAATTGATGTTATAGTGCTTTCATTTCGTGTGTATTCACTTTGTTTGTCGATCGGAGAATAGGGTGCCCCATCTTGTGGCCAAATAGGGTCTTTAATAGTTCCCTAGTTTGGTAGGTTGCGATTTTTGTTCTTGGCAACGTGAAGCCATGTCACTCTAGTGTACCTCTCTTTTCTCAATCATAAGAGTGATCTTCTAACAAAAAATGAGTGGATCTTATGATTACAAATAAACACTTCATGAATTCAAATTTTCTCTTCACTCAGTTTCCACGTCAGCCTTGATTTTATACATCGTTTTTATGATTTTATTTTTTTTTAAACTCAACACTAACTAAGAAATAAATGAACATATAATAAGTGGTACTAGTATTCAAACACAACATACAAGACCTAGATTATTTTAGTGTAAAATTTTGAATCGGTAAGACAAACTCTATTTGATGATAATAATTACAAAACTAATCAAATAAACTCAATCAATTATAATAATTACTATATAAAATTGAGACCACCGTGTCATCAAAAAAATTTAGGGTAAATACAATTTAATATCCAAACCTTTTATTTTAAACAATATAATAGCCAAACATTTTCTAAAACAATCTAATATCCAAATCGTCAACTTTCTGTCTGTTTGACCGTTAGTTGACACTTCAAAAAAGTTCGAAGTACGACACTTCATCAATATCCATCGATATCTTCTCTGAAAAACCACCAACATATCGTAGTTCCAAACCCGAAAAGTCCATGACTCCACCATGATGGTGTAGAATATCTAAATATTCAATCATCTGCAATGCCAAAAGAAGAAACAAAGTTGTATTGTGACAATTTCCCCTAAAACAAAGCTTTTTTGAAGTGTCAACTAACGGTTAAACGAACAGAAAGTTGACGATTTGGATATTAGATTGTTTTCGAAAAGGTTTGGCTATTATATTGTTTAAAATGAAAGGTTTGAATATTAAATTGTATTTACCCAAAAATTTAATATGTTACTGCTATTTTTTATTTTCTCACTTTCATTAGTAAAATCGATATTAAACAAAAGAATTTACATGAATTTAGAGTGGATCTTATGATATAACCATAAATTTTGTGATTAAAATTAAATTACACCAATCCACATCTATCAGCCCATTCAAAATCAATACAATATCTTATAAACTTTCTCAAATTAGCCTTAACCATTTCAAATTTTCTTAATTATTAAGAATCCCGTCAGCCTTGACTTTTGGCATCATTTTTATTATTTTAAATTTTTGAACTCAATATTGATTAAAATAAACGAACATATAAACAAGAGTTACTAGGATTCAACACACAACCTATAAGTCTTAGATTTAGTATAGTGTAAATATTTGATGATATTGATTGCAGAACGAAGAAGATAATTAGATAAACTCCATCGATTATAATAATATTGAGACTCATATCATCAAACATGTCCAATATGTTACTTCCAATACTTTTTTTCCCACTTCATTGGTAAATAATGTATTGATACAAAATTTAGATGAATTTATAGTGGATCTTATCATATAATCATAAATTTATGATTACAAATAAATTAAAATAATTAAAATGATCAACTAACCCAAAAATATTTCAATTATAATTTTGAATCTACAGTATCATTTATAGTGGAAAAGTAAAACCGCATCCACCATTTAAAATTCTGTGCGCTTAGAGTGATTTGCGGGAGTTGAGGTGGCTGGACATTTAGGCGGGGTTTTCTTCTTCCCTTCGTGGAAACGCAATAGCCCTTCTCTCTTTACCTTTCTCCCACTATTCGCCTTCTCAAATCCGTCTTCTTTGCCCGCCGATCGATTCACTCAAAACCCAGTTACATTTTTCCCTTTCTGCATCGTGTACCAAGAACCCTTTTACTTTTCCCCCTCTACGCCGATTTCAACTCTCGCTTCGCCCTCGATTCCTGGGTGTGCAAACAACAGCGATTTCAAGATGGATAAGAGTTTATGGATTATGGCGCTGTAGCTTCTCTTCTCTCGGGTCTGAAGGAGAGCGGTGGAATTAAAAAAAGGCTGCAGGGTCCAAATGGGTTTGTGGGATCGAGGAGTTGAGGTTGTCTGAACTAGGCAATCCGCCATTTCATCTTCCCGCCACACTAATTTCAAGATGAGTTTATGGGTTCTGGCCAGGCATATCGATTCCAGGTAATAGATATCGGACGGAGGTAAATGGGTTTCGAAGATATTGATGGACTGGGACAACAGCAATTCGGATCTGGGCGGCGACGAGGAGGAAGGAAGCTTCGACCTCGACCTCAACGATGGCGTAGGTCCAATCCCTTTCCGTCGAGAGCTTGCTTCAAACCGCGCCTTGTGGGTTCGTGGTCACGGATTCCTCTCGAGCCTGACCACCCTATCATCTACGTCAATACCGTATTTGAGAAGATTACTTGGTATCGTGTTGAGGAGGTGAGGTGCTCGGCCGCAACTGGTACGTCTTTTCTATCCCTTTGTTTTTGCTAATTCGCAGCTTTAAATTTTGGTTTAATTCCTCGATTTCGCCCTGTTTGTAGGATAGGGTGCGATATTGTTTTCGGGTGTTGGCCAATTTACACTTCGGATTTGAAGCAATTTACCCTTCACGGCAGCTGCTTTCGTTTCCATCCTAGCGTCGCCCTCCGGCCATCCTCTGTTCCCAACCAACGTGTCATCGTCCCCTAAAATCCTAGACTATACCGGCGATCCAAAACCCAGTCTCGGAATCAGAATCCACCCACCCAACTTCTCTGCTTCTGAAACCCAGTTTCCACTGATTCCCCGCTCTGTTCCTGTTTTAGCGTCCTTCTTCTGTTTGAATCCCAAATCCGTCTGATTGTTGTTCTTCCTTTGTTCTTCTCCCCGGCTCCCACTCTACTTCTCCAGTTCTACGTCGGGCTACCATACAGCTTGGATGAAGGAATTACTAGCCATGTTCGATCGATTCCCCATTCCGTTCCCCTTCTAGCGACCTCCATTCGCTTGAATTCCCAAATCCATCTGATTGATGTTTGACATTCTTCTTCACCTCAGTTTCCCGTCTGCCTCTCCCGTTCAACGCTGAGTTGTCGTCCATATGGGAAGAAGGGATTACTGGCCAGTTGGCGAATCTATATACACAACAGTTGTTTTTCCAATCCCATGATGATCGTCTCACTGTGAAGAAGGGTTTCTCGACCGCGGTTCCCACTTCCCAACCTCATCTACAATTGGTACTTACAGCCTCTACGAGAAAGAAGTGAATGGGGACGGTGCGTGGCAAACGTAACGAGCAAGGTGTTAGTGGTTTATCATTGGATCAATAATGCTAATCCCTCTTTTTGTTATACTATATTCAGCTGCACCGTTTTCAACTTTCTTTCCCTGCCCTTTTAGTGTACTTAACCAGTAAAATCAACCCCTTTCAGGTAAAGGATCTTTCTTAATTATCACTTCTAATCCTCTGGTTGTTTGTGTTCATAATCGATAAGCTAATTGGAGAAGCTCATGTCAGTCCAGAGCACTGGTTCGTCGTATCATTGCAACGGTTCCTCCTCTCTCTAGATGTATAGCTTTACCAGACTTTACTCCTCTAGATTCAAAAGATCCATGCTTGTTAGATTAAACATAACATAGAAGTATATACTCAAATATGAACATGCATAATACTATCCTCATTCGGCCAACGGGCCGAGTTATAAGCTAGTGATTAATAATATGAAAATAACCCAGCCTATGGTCGGGAACAAAGCTAGTATTAGTTACATGAAGTTGATAGCTCCTTATATTGGGAGCACGTTTTAATTTAAACAACCGTTACAATTATCATATCATATCAAATCAATACCAATAGAAATGCAATAATTTGCAGTTATAACTGTTGGGATATTGAATGGTTTGGATGAGAATGAAACGGGAAGGAGTCAAGAGAAATTCTAAAAATATCATATTGGTGAGATAGCGGTAGGAGGGCTCAGACTCGGTCGATTTTATTAGATTAAATCTTTGATAATTGGATAGATTGGTTGGTGTAACCAACCAAACCGAACTGAACCGATGTGACAGTGTAGTAAACCAACTATTCCAACTATCATGGGACAAACATATGCAATGGTTGAAAATTTTAAATGAACCAATGCAATGGTTGTGTTTTAACTCGCCCTAAGAGTTGCCTCCTTTCTTACGCAGCCCTTTATTTCTATAAAAAGGGTCCAACTATCACTGATCAGGTTTAATCCGGCCCATCACTGGTCAGGTCGGGGAAAAATTGTCAAGTCGGGTATGAAATGTCATCCCTATTAGAGTGGAGGTCCAAAAAGAGGGGAAGGAGTAATGGTTTCAAGATCAAGGTTTTAATTGATACTGAGGCCTGACTAATTCAAGTGAGGCGTGCTTAAGTGTGTTGCTCGACCCGATAACTTTTTCAGTTTTTGCCCAACTCTAGTCGATCCGACACTCAGCCTTTCTCACTGTTGTTGACTACAAATCAACCACAACCCACGACTTGTCGACTTCTATAAGCTTATGATTCTAAAAAATCATGAAATATTTTGCTAGTTGTTGAGGGTTAGCTAATAATTTGAACTAAAGTAAAAACTTTATATAAAATTGTTATTTTTGCTTAAACCCATATTTTTGTTAAAACGCCTAGGCGCGTCTAGGTACCGCTTAGACGTGCTAGGCGCTAGAAAGGGCCCCAATGCTTGCCTGGCGCCTTCTTAAACCTTGATTGTATATAAGTTTGTAAATTTTATATTACTAGTTATTGGTGGCTTGGTTGCGCTTCATGGCTAGTTAAAGGCAATGTCGTTGTATGAAATAATTAGCAAAATGTAACTTGTAATACATAAGTACAAAGTACAAAAACAACAAGAAAAACTCATAAAGACGTGGGAAAGCTCCATAACAATTTGCATTCGCTGACCAATAAGGTCATAGATTAGAGAATGACGATTATCCTCTTCAGGTATTATCCCCTTAAGTTTGAGTTATTTACAATAAATCCGCTTAATAAATAGTAAATTAAAAATTGTTGCTTTTATATAAAAAATTTTCGTTAACCAATTAAGCAAATTGACTTAATGAGTATAGTATTATCTTCTTTGTTATTAACCAATTAAGCAAATTGACTATTACAGTGGCAATAAGAATCCAATTGAAGCAAAATGTAGATACATAAGTGTTTTTCCGCCTAGAAAACTAAAGGAAAGAGAATTGATTTTTTGCATCTTTTTTACTTCCAAACAAACTATTAACAAACAGTAAATTAAAAATTGTGGCTTTTATATAAAAAAATTTTCGTTAACAAAATGAGTATAGTATTATCTTCTTTGTTATTAACCAATTAAGCAAATTGACTATTACAGTGGCAATAAGAATCCAATTGAAGCAAAATGTAGATACATAAGTGTTTTCCCGGCTAGAAAACTAATGAAAAGAGAATTGATTTTTTTTTGCACCTTTTTTACTTCCAAACAAACGATTAACAAACACAGTCCACACCTCTTTGGACAACGTTCAAACAAGGGTGTCGATGTTCTTGATGATCTACGAGGCCAACTAAATTACATTAACTCTACTCCTATGGAGGTTCAGCGAGAGCTCCAGAACTACAATTATGACTATATTTGCAGAGGAAAAGATAAAAGGATAAAAGTTGACATTGTGTAGTCTGGTGTGATTTTGGCAACCCTTTCTCTGTCATCTTCACCTCCTATTTATAGCCACCAGAAGTAACTGCCTCGAGAAACTACTCTATTGACGTGGAGTGGTGGTTACCTTCTTAACTACTTCGAGTATGCTCTATCATTGGTGGTTGTATCTTCTTCAGTCTTGGCCCCCTCACCTTGATAGTTATGCCAGTTGAGAAAAATGAAGAAGGCGTGAAAACCCCCTTGCTACATGTGGGTGGGTTGGGATCACATAGAGTAAAAATGGCAAAAATAGTTCACCACTACGAGAGCGGCATTCTTGGCCAAATTTCACTCGTTCTCATCATACTAGGGAGTGACACCCCCCCCCCCTCTGATCCTTATGGGGTTGATCGCCACCCCCCTGATCATACCTCGGGGGTTGGTATGTTGGTGGCCCCCTGACCACCTCAATGGGTTGCTCTTTGCCATCCTCATAATCTTCCATACTTAACCAAATTTCCAACCTAACTTACCGCACTAAATGGTATGGTGATCACCCACCATGGGGGCGTGTGTTGATGGCCAAATTCGACCATCCAACTCCTCCATACCACCCTCCTCCTCGTCCTAGGGGGTTGTGTGGTGTCCACCCTACCCACCCCCCTTGCCACGTCCTGGGGGTGGAGCCGTGGTGGTATGATGGTGGCCACCCCCTCGGCTCGTCATGGGAGTGGCTCCAATACTTAGCCAAATTTTGGAATAGATGGTTAGAGTGGTGCATGATGCCATGAGATAATTGGCCCAAAAAATCCAACCCACTTGGCCCATCTTAATTGATTTTAATTGTTATAATTAAGTTGGCCTTATAAAGCCATTTAATCCTTTGTATTTAAACGATGTGGTACAAATTTAATTATGGTGTAAACAATAAGTAACTTGTGTGAAAAGTCAAGATGATTGTACTTCGGGGGCCCTATACGTATACGTCACTATAACTTGGTGCTTCATATGTGTCTCTACAATGTATGATGTATCACTCAATATGATGGAGAGTTTTTGACACATGTTAACCACTGACAATAACCTGCACGGATGAATGTGATCAATTATGTCATGCATCTAGGAACCACACATATCAAAGCTTTGTATCCTATGGTTGCTTGCTTGTCATATGACCAAATGTCATCGGGTTATAAGAAGTATGTGATGGTAGTGGATTCAGTGGTTCTTCCAACATGTTTTGAAGAAGCGGTAAAGCTAGGATGAACGTTGGAGGAAGGCTATGGATTTGGAAATTGAAGCTCGGGAAGCCAACAAAACTTGGGACATTGTCCCTAGACCACCTAAGAGGAGGATTATGGGGAAGAAGTGGGTGTATGCCATTAAACTCCATGCTTATGGAGATATTGAGATACCTAAAGCCAAATCGGTGGCTAAAGAATTTACACAAATCTATGGAATAGACTTCTTAGGTACATATTCTCCAATTGCAAAATTGAATTTAATTAAAACTTTATGGCTGTTGCAGTAGCTAAGAACTGAGAGATGTGTCAGTTATGTTCAATCTCACAATGATTACTCCATGTTCACACATCACTCTCCCTCTGGTATTTCCATTCTCTTGGTGTATGTTTACGATATTATTATAGTTGGTGATGATACATCCAGTATGCATGCTTTGAAGACTCATCTAAGTCATCAATTCAAGTCAAGAGATCTGGGCCATCTCCACTATTTTCTTGGACTAGAAGTGGCTCAATCCAGGGCGGGTTTGCAAATCTGACAAAAGAAATATTGACTAGAAATGCCAGTCAAGATTCAATCCAACCCCACCAGTACCATCTAAATGAAACAACCAACACAGTATATACATCTGATAAACATATATAAACCAGCATGTATCTTCATCAGCAAACATGAACACCAAGTTATATCTAAGTTGCTTGGTTAATGGATTCTCACTCTTATCCCGTGCACATATATAATTAACGAGATCCCTGCTTGAGAATAATCTAAGTTTTAAATTGTGTTTTCAAATCCTAGTAACCTTATTTTTATGTTCATTTACTTTTAATTAGTGTTGAGTTAAAAAAAACTGACGTGGAAAATACATGCTGACGTAAAAAAATTAGGCGAAGAAAAAATCTTAATCCGTGAAGTATTTCTAATAGAAAACACTTGTTATATTAAATAGATTCTTACAAAGAAAGTTGCATTCTAAACATTCATTCTTCCTCTCAACTGCTTTATTCATATGATATATTTCTTTCTATTTTTTTTTTGTCATAGATCGGGAAGGTAATAGATATATTTCTTTCTAGTTTCAATCATTCTTCAATTTCCTTGGAATATAGAATCTAGATGAGGTCCACTCGGTGGTACATTGCAGAGACACAAATAAAGCCCCAAGTCACAATGACATTTCGGGCCCCACGAAGCACAATCATCTTGAGTTTCACACGGTTTGCTTACGTATCTACCTTCTGCTCCCATTTGATTCTTGTTTCCACCTGAATATATCACATTTGTGAAGAAAATAATCTATCTGTTCTACTAATTAAAAACCATATAAAATTTACAAATTTATGTGCGATCATACAACAAGGATGAAATTATGCTTACCAAAAACTACAAGCAACAAAATCACGAGATAGAAGGACAACTTGAAATAAGTCTTCTCCATTATGGTTGGATATGAACTGCCACCGGTTGAATGTGTGAGCTTTCTTTGTTTCTGAAGTGAGATTTCAATCGGTGAATGATGTGATTCAAAGGACATTATTTTGTTAGTTTATATAGGAAGCAATGAAAGGTAGAAAATCTGACAATACCATAATTAGTTTCCATCTTTTGGAAAGTGATAAATGTCTTGCCATTAGTTTTCAATTTTTCCTCAAAATTAATTGTCCCTTCTCATTCTCATAATTGATTTTCCCAAAAATACAACAACGATATCATGTAGAAATGGAAAAAAATAATGATGTTTCTATCATTATATGCATAACTTAAAAACAATATATTTTGCTATAGTGGAAATTCTCAATTTCAAATTTCAAATTTCTGGGCAACTCTCGAAAAACCGTATCATAGGTTTCTTTTCTTCCCTCTCTTGCCATAAACTCAATTGATATATTAGGCTAGGCTCATATGCGGAAATGCAGGGTCAACATAATTAACGGTAATCCTATCCACCCGTCCAACAAGATTGGGTTAGCAACCCGTAGATACTAAATCCAGCTTATGTTACAACTATTGTTCTAAACTTTTTAATACAAACTTTAGTTCACGTAGATTTAATACAAACTATAGTTCACTTGGTCTTTTTTCTTGTATACAATTTTAGAAGTATAGCATATTAAGAATGTGTTAACTTATAATGAATGACGACTTTAACTTATATCGGTAAATGTTTATGGAAACACTAGACATATATTGAAGCAAATTTCACTTTATCGAGATCCAAGCAACAAATTATATGCATTTTGATAATTTTTCGCTTCAGTTTATTTACTTGAGGTTTAATTAGTTATACTATCTTTTCTTTTTATAAAGCAAAATAGTTGCTTTTTGCGTGGTGAGTAGAGGTGGCAATTAGGATCCAAATCCATGAATCCAATCCAATCCAATCCATCCACAAAATTATCCACCTAATCCAATCCACTTAAATCCAATCCATTTGATCCAAATCCAATTGGATTGGTGGATTCATGGATCAATCCATGGATCCAAATGACAAATTACGATTTGGTACCTATATAATTTACATTTTGGTACCTAAAATTTATATTTTTATACGAAAAATATCTTTAGAAAATTACATTTTGGTACCTAAAATTTTTCATTATGACAATTTAATACCTAAACTTTTCAAAATTTACATTTTGGTCCAAGCCTTGGATGTCATTTGGATTCATGGATCAATCCACCAATCCATTTGATCCAATCCATGAATCCACCAATCCATTGGATCCAATCCATTTGATCCATGGATCCACCAATCCAATCCACGAATACACGAATCCAATCCAATTGCCACCTCTAATGGTGAGTAGAGTTTATACTTAAATATATAGTCCACCCGACCCAACTCAATCACAGACAAATCATAGGGTTCCAATTTTGTTGGGAGGGCTTGCATTTAGTGTTTCTAGAACCAAAATGTATGGTCGGATGATTCAAATGATTATATTCGAACCACCCGACCAATGTACACTCCTAATCGGGATCATTAAAAACCTGAGTTACAGACAAAACTATGAGCTACAAAACCTACAAAACTTGTGTTTTACCATCCCTTATACTGATCATACCCCCTAATATGATTGTATGAGGGTGGTATGATTCTTATAGGGTGCAAGACACATGGTTTTGTAGTTCTAAGTTGTGTACCACATCTTTTCTCGAAATAAACAGTTAGTATATTAACATAGTATCATTTTATTTTTATAGAGTATTAATAAAGTACTGAAAGTTTGACGTCAATCAATATTCCACGTAGGAATGGAACTAGTTCTTCTGTTTTCTTTTGTCTATTTATTAGAGGAGTCAAAACAAAACCCAACTACATAATCAAGGCTAGTCGTTACCGGAAAATCCTAGCTCCAACATCTCCGGAGCGGCAATTTCCCTGCAATAACGCCCGCGGCTCTCGAAGCTCGATGTCTGTGCTGACACCGAGGCCGGGTCCTTCGGACGACCATCTCCCAGATGCGAGTTCCGGTGTACATAGGCCGGGAAGGGGAAGAAGCAAGCAAAGAAACGCGCACGATCCCTGATCGCGAATCCTCTTTTCGATTAGGAAACAACCATGGAGATGGAGGAGCAGGTAGCCCATAAGCAAGTGGTATGTAGCTCCCGATCGAGGTACGAGTAAACTATTTATTTCGGGACAAGCTCCCGGAGGATATGTGGTATGTAGCTGAGTCCGACTCAGAGGATATAACTAGGTGGTAATGCGGGAGGATGGTATGGATTATCAGATTACGAAGGACGACGACCCGCTTTGCTCAAATATTCTGTTCAAAGCAATGGAGAAGACAAGGTATCGAAGCAAATGGCGTTCAACCCTCATCTTGGAAGCTTTAGGGAGGACCTTCCCTTACCCTGTGCTGGCAAAGAGGCTTGAATTCATATGGGCACGTGATGGTATCCTCTAAATCAACAATCTCTCGTGGGGTTACTATATATGTTGTGCACTTCACGCACCAGCTGGATTATGAGAGAGCAGCCGCAGGCGGCCGTGGATGATTGGTGACCACTGCCTCGCCGTCAGACCTTGGTCCCAAGTTCGCGGACGTGGCTACCACTGTCAAGATGCTAAGGAAGAAGTTGCAGATGTTCGTGAAGGCAAAGCAGGTGATGCAGAGCTGGAATGAACTTCGATCTGCCGACTGAAGAAGATAGCACAGAAACGCTTTTGGAACTCAAAGACGATTCGTTGTATGGGAAACGTTTCGAGCCTTCGTCCGGAACGCGTAGTCGTTTTAGTATTTATCTGCGTTGTAATAAGGAGAGTAAAGTTAGTTTCATTTCCACCTGTCGTTGTTAGCCACGTGTCGTGGTGAACTTTACTTACCGTTGAAACAGTAAATTTGGAAATGAATAAAAGCCTGAGAACCCTGAGCTGCTGCTCTTTGCGGGTTTCCGATCAAAAACCTTAGCCCCTCTTGATATTTTCTACATAGTATCAGAGCCCCAGATCTGATTCTCGCTTCTACCGGACATGGCTGGTGCATCTCTGTTTACTCCTCCTGGTAGTAGTGGTGCTGCCAGTGGCGCCGCCGGTGTCCAGTTTGGGAGTTTCGCCGAGAATCAGATGTCGGGTGGCAGAGGTGAGATCTAATTTGGAAACCCCTTGTACTTGAATCCCAATGAGAATCTCTCTCAGTCTCTTGTTACTGAGCTTCTTGATGGTAGCAACTATTCTATGTGGAGTCGTTCTATGCGTTTGGCGCTGAAGACCAAGCACAAGCTGGGCTTCGTCGATGGATCTATTCCTGTCCCGCCTCCTGGCAGTGACAACTTCCATTTGTGGGATGGCTGTAACACCATTGTTCTTTGTTGGATTGTTAATTCCTTGAAAAAGGAAATTGCTCACAATGTGGTGAATCATGAGAATGCTCGCATTTTGTGGGAGGAATTGAAGAGACGATTTGGTCAACCAAATGCCTTGCCTATTATTAATCTCGAAGATGAACTTCAGGCTTGCAAGCAGGGAGATCGCTCTATCACTCAGTATTACACTGAGGTGAAAGGGTTTTGGGAGGATCTACAACAATTTTCTCCTATTGTGCCATGTACCTGTGCACCCATCAACCCCAATCCTTGTCCAGCTGTTTTTGCCTTTCAAACTAAGCAAGAAACATATTACTTAATTCGCTTCTTGAGGGGGCTCAACAAGGAGTATGAGATGGTGAAAACTCAGTTACTTATGATGAAACCTTTGCCTACTGTTACCGCTGTTGTGGATGATTTGCTTCAACATGAGCAAAAATTGAAGGGGAATCAGACCAAGTCTAAGGGTAGTCAGTCCGTTGCTCTGGATGTTGGCTCTCAGCAAGGAAGGGATCAGTATAAAGGGAAACAGGAGGCTGGTTCGGGCACATGGAAACTGTTCTGCAGGTATTGCAAGCGTACTGATCATAATATCAAGGATTGTTGGAAGTTAAAGAAGAAGGAGCAGGAGAATGGTGGTTTTTCTGGATCTGTTTCTACAGACAGTGCAGCTCTTTCTTCTGACAGCACTAGTAGCCTTTCTGATGACAGTGTTAGTCCAACTAAAGCTGTCAATGCCTTCTCCACTGAAGAAATTACTCGTCTCAAGACCCTCTTGCAGTTTGGTGTCCAATCTGGTGTCCCATTAAGGTTTTGGAGTGCATGTGTTCTTCATTCAGTTTATCTCATAAATAGACTGCCTACCCCTGTACTCAAGAATCTTTCTCCCTATCAGTTATTACACCAAAAACCACATGACCTCACTATGTTAAAGGTCTTTGGGTGCCTTTGTTATGCTTCAACACTGGTTCATGGTCGTACAAAGTTCCAACCTCGTGCTTCCCAATGTGTTTTCCTTGGCTTCCCTACTGGAGTCAAGGGTTATACTCTTCTTCAGCTTTCTGATCAGAAAGTGTTTCTTTCCAGGGGTGTCATCTTTTATGAAGACATTCTCCCTTTTCGTAATCCACCTTCTGATGCTCCACCTTCTACTCCTACTTCTCCCATTATTCCTCCACCCTTGGCACCATCTAGTATTCCCATTTACCAGCCCAATTCTTCTCCCATTGAGGGATCAGAGGGAGGCAGTGCCAGTAGCAATTCTTCTCCCTCAATATCTTCCACTCCATCTGCTAGCGTACTAGTTATATCAATCCTTCTGCTCCAGATGGTCCCATTACTGAACCTGTTTATTTAGAGAATTTTGTTGATAATGATGATAATCCTGAGTTGGAACTCCAAAGGGAATATGAAGGCAGACCCATTCGCATTAATAGAGGGAAGATGCTAGTTAAATTTGATGATTATCATGTTGGCAGTGTATGCAAGTATCCCATGGAAGATTATCTGGATTATGATCAGTTGTCACAGGCTGACAAAGCCTATATACTAAGTGTTTTGCATGAGGTAGAACCATGTTCTTATCAAGAAGCTGTTGCTTCTGAACATTGGAATAGAGCAATGAATGAAGAAACTCAAGCATGGGAAGACAACCATACTTGGGATGTTGTAGTCTTACCAAAAGGCAAAAGAGCCATAGGCTGTAAATGGGTGTTCAAGATCAAAAGGAGACCAGATGGCAGTATTGAAAGATTTAAAGCAAGGTTAGTGGCAAAGGGTTTTACACAAGTTTATGGTATAGATTTTCTTGATACCTACTCTCCTGTTGCCAAGATTAACACTATGAAAGCATTACTAGCTGTTGCTGCAAATAAGGGTTGGGTATTAGATCAGATGGATGTCTCCAATGCATTTCTGCATGGAGACTTAGAAGAAGAAGTGTATATGGTGCTTCCACCAGAAGATCCTAGAGCTAAAGGGCCTGAAAAACTTGTCTGCAGGCTAAGAAAGTCACTATATGGACTTAAGCAGGCAAGTCGACAATGGTTTGCTAACTTGACCTCATCATTGCTGCAACATGGTTTCTCACAGTCTGCTTCAGACTATTCCATGTTTACCAAATGGGTTCAAGGTCGATTTGTGGTTTTACTGGTGTATGTGGATGATATTATAGTGGGAGGTGATAGTAGAGTAGATGTGGAAGAAGTAAAGAAGTATCTTAGCAGGAACTTCAAAATCAAGGACCTAGGACAGCTAAAATTCTTCTTAGGCCTTGAGATTGTCAGGAACAGTGATGGGATTGCAGTAAGTCAGCGAAAGCATTGCTAGGAACTACTTAAGGACACTGGATATCAGGATGCTAAGCCTTGTGTTTCACCACTGGATCCAAAAGTTTCATTAAGAGCTAAGCAAGGTGTTCCACTGGAGGATCCTGAACAATACAGAAGACTTATTGGTAGATTACACTACCTTACCACCACTAGACCTGATCTATACTTTCCCTATGCAGCAGCTCAGCCAATTTCAAAGGGAACCATATACTGAGCACTTGCAGGCTGCATTCAGGGTTCTGAGATACATTAATGGGTCACCAAACCAAGGTATTTACTTCAAAACTGATTCACCATTAAAGCTGTCAGGGTACAGTGACTCGGACTGGGCTAGTTGTCCAGATTCTAGGAGATCAGTTAGTGGTTATTGCACATTTCTTGGGACTTCACTTGTCACTTGGAAAGCCAAGAAGAAAACTACTGTCTCACGATCCTCTTCAGAAGCTGAATACAGGGCTTTAGCCCAGTTGGTTTGTGAATTACAGTGGATGAAGGGATTACTTGCAGAGTTAAGCGTGGATGTGGAGCTCCCTATTTCTGTGTTTTGTGAAAACAGATCTGCGATACATATCGCTGAAAATCCAGTGTTTCACGAAAGGACGAAGCACATTGAGATTGATATCCATGTAACTCGTGAGAGAGTGAAGTCTGGTTTGATTAAATTACTATACATTCAAACTGTTGATCAGGTTGCTGATCTGTTTACTAAGGCTCTAAGCAGATACAAAATTAAAGAGTTGTTATACAAGCTTGGAGTTAGTGCACTCCAGCTTGAGGGAGGCTGTCAAGATGCTAAGGAAGAAGTTGCAGATGTTCGTGAAGGCAAAGAAGGTGATGCAGAGCTGGAATGAACTTCGATCTGCAGACTGAAGAAGATAGCAGAGAAATGCGTTTCAGACTCGAAGACGATTCGTAGTATGGGAAACGTTTCGAGCCTTCGTCTGGAACGCGTCGTCGTTTTAGTATTTATCTGGGTTGTAATAAGGAGAGTAAAGTTAGTTTCATTTCCACCTGTCGTTGTTAGCCACGTGTCGTGGTGAACTTTACTTGCCGTTGAAACAGTAAATTTGGAAATGAATAAAAGCCTGAGAACCCTGAGCTGCTGCTCTTTACGGGTTTCCGATCAAAAACCTTAGCCCCTCTTGATATTTTCTACAACCACGCTCGTGTGGACGAAGCTCATGCTCTTACCATTTGAGTTTGTTAACAAGGAGGTGGTGGCCTAGAAAGAATCACTTCCCAGATAGGGAAGCCAGTTCAATCGTGTCCGTCGTTAAGGACGCCACCAACCCCAGCGTCTGAGGAGCCAACTCCCATCCCAACACAACTTTGGAGCCGGAAAAACCTTAGTCGACCTGGCAGTGAGTGGATGATAGCCAAGCCTTGGAAGGGTAAGGATGGTGAGCGTGACTTTGCGGGATCAAAGCCGTAGATGTCCCCATCTGGTAATGAGGACTTGGGATCCCGATTCCTAGTCCTCAGCTATATGGAAGTTGTTGGGGAAGATTATACTAGATTGGGAACGGGTCCCGAATGAAAACCGACTAGGCGTTCGTGTCCATGCCCTCCAGCGCAGCAGTGAAGTCATCGAGTAAAGGTAGCCAAGTTCGTGAGGAAGTCCACAACTGTGCAGGTAATGGTGTCAAAGAGTGCTCAAGACTTGTCCAAGATGGTGTTCATGGATAAGGATCATGCTCTTAACAACTCTGAGCTAGTTATCATCCCAGTTGATGTAGCAGGCTATAAGGCCCTTTTACGAGTAATCCGAAAACATCGGTTGTGCACACTCGGAAGAGCTGAACAATCAAATGGCTCAAGCAGGTAAGGGCGCAGAGGAGGTCAAACACGGCCATCGTCCAAGCAAAGAGAACTCTAGTGGAGCCACCAAGGGGAAAGGTAGACGGAAAGGAGGAGTGGTGAGGTCCCAGAACCTGCCACTAGAGTCAATCAACCAACTCGGTAGCTATATAGGGGGTTCCAACACCCTGGGAGGAGCCAATACTCCAACGATCGAGTTCTACTGCCTGAGCGAAGGCTCCATCGTTTCTGTTTGTATATTTAGGATTAGTACTGTCCAAGCTCGGAACTACCAAGGGACATGAACTGACCTTTTCTTATCGTGTTTAGCTTCTTTTTGTGGGCCTTTTCGGCCGAAGTTAGTTATTATTGTTATACAAAGGGTGATGGATCGTACGGGTTTTGATGGTCACCTCGTTGTTCAAGTTGTTAGCTTTAAGTTGCAGGTGGGATATGGGTCTGCAGATGGAGCAAGATCTAGAGGTTACTCAACGATCTTCATCAAACTAGATGATCCATAGGGCATGTAGGAGACCTAGGGCAAGTGGAAATGAAGTAGTCATCTCAGCTATCTACGGGAGCCGAAATGCTGCTAGAAGACAGGATCTGTGGATGAAATCTGCGCACCGAGCGAATATACCTCAAAAGTGTTGGGAGACTATAGGGGAGCTATTTTGTCTTGGAATATTTCAGGCAGCCGTAACTCATCAGGACGGTTAATGAGACTCTTCTCGTTCTCATTCATAAACGGTAGAGCACAAATTCTCTCAAGATGTTCCGCCCGATCAACCTCTGCAATGTAGCTTACAAAGCATTAGCTAAATGCATAGTGCAGAGGATCAAGCCTTTGATGCGTACTCTGGTACACCCAACCCATATGAGTTTCGATCCCGAGAGGCATATAATATACAACATCATTATTGTGCAAAATGGTGCACTCCACGGGGATGAAGAAGGGTAGGAAAGGCCAGATGGTCTTGAAGATTGACTTGGCAAAGGCTTATAATAGGATGCGGTGGGTTTTCATCCGAAGACATGCTTCGAAATCGGGCATGCCTTCTCACCTAGTGCAAGTGATTATGAAATGTATCACTTCTTCCACTATGCAGGTCCTTTGGAATGGTGAGTGCACCGAGGAGTTCCAACCGTCCAGGTGAATTTGCCAGGGCTGCCCCCTGCCCCTACATCTTCACGTTGTGCATGGAAAGATTGAGCCATATCATACAGGATGCGGTTGATAGGGGCTGGTGGAAGCAAATTTGCATGTCACCAGGTCGGCCGCGTCTGTCCCACATTTTCTTTGCCGACGATCTTATTCTATTTGCATAGGAAACTGAGAATCAAGGGCAGCTGGTAATGGAGTGCTTGGACTTGTTCGGGTAGGCCTAAGGAATGGTAGGAAGATCCATCTAGTTAACTGGGATGGCGTGTGTCAGCCTAAGGAAGATGGCGACTTGGGGTTTCAGAAAGCTCACGAGACCAAAATTTCTTTCCTTGCTAAACTTGCATGGTCTTTCTTAAAGCAGTCGGATGAGCAGTGGGTGAAGGTTCTGCATACTAAGTATTTTAAACAAGTTAATGGAGTCATAGTGGACAAGTTAATGGCGAGGGCCTCTACTTTATAGCAGGGAATGAGGACGGCTTGACAGGTGATGGCAACAGGTTTGTTGATGAGCATCCGGGATGGCACAACGACCAGTTTCTGGACCGATCAATGGGCGGGGCCGGTGGAGACTTTGCTGGACCACCTCCTCAAAGATAGCCTACCGATTGACCTACGAACCTCAATGGTAAGTGGGATCTCAACTCGCTCTCTCTTTTTTTACCAGATGACCCCCGTCAGGAGCACACTGACCTTATGTTTGGCCTTACCAGCTGGTCTCTTTGGAAGTCCAGGAATGATCGTGTCTTCTCAAGCAAGATCGTAACATCTGCAGTCTTTCTAAAACGCGTCCAGGCTTGGATAACTGTCATGAGAGATGCCTTGGACAAAGACAAGCTAATTCATCAACCTAGTATGCCTGCAAAAACGGAGGTGGAGATCTCTTGGAAGCCACCACCTCCCGAGTGGGTCACCCTCAACACCAATGGCTCCGTCCGCAACCCAGTAGGTCATGCCGCAGCTGGTGGTCTGCTTCAAGATCACTTAGGGCGCTGCTTAGCAACATTCACGATGAACTTGGGGATTTTCTCTATCACCAGGGCGGAGTTGAGGGGCGCTGTGGAAGGACTTCAGATAGCTTAGAATGCTGGATTTTGTCACGTTATTCGGGAGCTAGACTCGGCCTGTGCTTGTCAGCTGCTTCTGAGTTCTATCTCTGAGGAGCAGCCGCGTGCAACCATGATTGAGAGAGCAAAGGAGAAGCTACATCGACAATGAGTTTTTCTTGTCACCCATATTTATCAAGAGGGTAATAAGTGTGCTAATTTCTTTGCTAATAGAGGTCATGATATATCTTTGGGTCTTCATTAGTTACTTATTTCGGATACTAATCTTCGTGACTGGTTATATAGTATGACGTTCAGGGGATTTTCGAACCTCGGGTGGTTTTGAATGAAAGATAGGGTGTTGCTGCATCCATTTATAAAAAAAAAACCCCGACTCGAAAACCCGTCCACAACCCAATATAACTAAAAGTCAATGACTCACAATCCTCTTGATGTATAACCCTCCCAGTTTGTAACCCCATTGACCTGCAACCCAATGGTTGTGCAATTATAACCTCACAATATATATGATAGTTCTTATCTTGATCTAATTGGATGGTCACCGTCTTTGGTCAAGAATACAAATTAAACCCAAATACTCAATCAAAGAAGAAGGAAACGTGATTAAAAATAAATAAATATAGATAAGAGGTTCGCAATCAAGGTTTACAAACTTACCCAGATCAAATGCCTAAGCTAGAGTTTATCTACCTAAGCAACAAGATAATATAGAAGATATAGAGAAAGGGTGTACAAAAATGAGTATGAACACTAATCTTGGGCAAGAATAATCTACTCTATCTTGATTTGAGCACTCCCCTTGAATCTTGAGTGAATTTTGGTTGAGATGAAGAGGAAACTACCTGAAAAGCTCCAAGTTCGTCACTCTAATTGTACATCTAAAAACACTATCTTTTCTCTCTCTAGGATGCCCTCTTTGCTAAAAACTACTCGAAGTACTTATAAACCCCTGCGCATATCAAAGTTTACAACCTAGGGTACGAAGGAGTTCACGGCCATGAACTTTGCAAATGTCCGTGAAATTTTGAAGTCTTCCACACTCACGACTTGGGCCACGACCATGAGCCAGGCCATTAGCAAGTTTACGGGCATAATTCACCCGAGTTCACAATTATGAACATTTCTCGCGACAGTGAACTTGTTGTCACGGTCTAGCCATTTGTGATTGTGTGACTGGTCGTGAGACCTTCGGATCTCATCGTCTCTCACGCTCAAGACCACGATGGTTGACGTGAATTTGGCCACAGTACCTCTCACTAACATGACTCTGGCTGTGACCTGACTCTAGGTTTTCTTCTTTTCTATTGTTAACCTTCAAATAATTTCCAATTTGTATGAAACTTGACACACACTTCCTTATCAGTATAGGACCTAAGATTATGAAAGAAAACACAAACTAGTCTAAAACATGAGAGAATGAACAAGTTAGAAGCCAAATGGCCAAAAAGCGGTAAACATTGTGATAAACACTAATGCCCCATTCACTTGTCATTTTGTTTTCTATTTTTCATTGCTATAACTAAAACAGGAAACAAAGATGAAAAATGTGTTCATTAGTAATTCTTTTTTTTTTGTTTGGAAAACCATTGTGCAATAAATGACTAAATGAGCTAATTGGGTGAAAACTAAAAAAATTGGTTTATGGAAATTATGACACAAGAAACACCTAGTTTCCCATGTCATAATAGCTGTAATAGCTTTATTAGCTCCATAATGGTTTACTGAGCTCAACGTATCGAATCCATCCCACCGCATTTGTTTTTCCTTGCCCCCTTTGAAGATCTTTCTTAGATCACAAAGCCCTAGCTATTTCTTCCCCCTTTTCTCTGGGTAGTCGCTCTGTCCATAGCCATTCATTATCAAAACTACCTCCCCTCTCCAATTGAACAATTTGGCAAGTGTTGCTACTTCTGATTCCTCTAGTAGCCGCCCGACACTGTGAAGTTCATGATTCATCGAGGCTCCCATCTCTCCCATAATCTTCAAGTCTGTCTTTTTTAGTAGTAGCCACCTCAGATCTTCCCAGCATTAACTCTTCTCCTGCCTATGTGCCCTTCTTCTCCTCTTATTGTCTCCTATGGTGTATAAAGTAGAGGAATAATTTTGAGAGGGATGATTGACAAAGAGAATGATAAAGGAAGAGATAGATAGAGATCCTTGTCTAGTATTTTTGTCATAGCTTGGTTAGTTCTTTGTCTAAGGGGTCGTTTGGATGTGGAAATTTGAAAACGTTGGAATTTGTCTGAATTTCCATGTTTTACAAAACCAAGGAATTGACTTGTGGAAATTGAAAAAAATTTCACGTTTGGATAGGGTTTAGTTTTGTGGGAATTGATGGTGTGGAATTTGGAAAAAGAAGTAAGAAAACGTGGTAATGTCAAATTACTAGGGGGAGGTGTAGTATTCTCAATTACCATGAATGTGGTAATTGAAGCCAATTTCCATGGTCCAATTCCCATACCCTTTTTGCTCTCCCAAACGTGGGTTTTAAACCCAATTACTGCGTTATGTGGTATTTGGGTCCAATTACTGCATTGCATTTCCACGTCCAAACGACCCCTAAATTCTAATGGAAACTACCACTACTCTGCAGTGTAGATGGGCTTATAGAGCATAAGCATATTAATGTTACTGGATGAGTTGTTGATAAATTGAAGAAAATAAATTGAATTTGATTACAAATGTGTTGATAAGGCTATTTAGGATCCATATTATAGTTCTGTTTTCCTTCCTAGTTTATAAACGAAAACCTAAATTTTGTATTGATTAGTATAGAGTTCAATGATTTTGTAGATTCCAAAAAGTTATGGAGCGGTATTTTGAAAATAAAAGGTCAAGACTACTCCATCCTCAAACTCTATAATTCCCGAAGATATTGGAGCTCCAATTTTCCATCAAGAACCACGCGAGCCTCCCTAGTTAGCTAGGAATTAGAAAGTCTATGTGAATTTCTTGCAAGCTGACCCGAAATTAAGACCACCAACAACATCCTTTAATCCCAAATTTCCAATACTCACGAGGAGGTTAGAAGAGCTTATCTGCAAAAAGGACCGTGCCAACTTTAATTGCACCAATT